GTCTGCAGACCCACATGTCCGTAGGTCCATGCACGTGTCCATGTGTCCATGCACGTGTCTGTGTGTCTGCACATGTGTCTATGGAAGTGTATGCATGCCCACATATCCATGCATGTGTCCGTACATCCATGCATGTATCTGTGTATCCATGTATGTGTCTGTACATCCACGCATGTGTCTGTACATCCACGCATGTGTCTGTACATCCACACGTGTCTGTGCACGTGTCCATATGTCCATGCATGTGTCCGTGTGTCTATGGATGTGTCTGCACGCCCACGTGTCCATACATCCATAGACATGTCTGTGTGTCCATGCACGTGTCCATACATCCATGCATGTGTCCATATGTCCATGCATGTGTCCATACATCCATGCATGTGTCCATGCACATATCTGTATGTCCATGCATGTGTCCATATATCCATGCATGTGTCTGTGTATCCATGCATGTGTCTGTACATCCATGTACACGCCCATACATCCATGCATGTGTCCTTGTGTCTGCACACATGTCTATGGATGTGTCTGCATGCCCACATGTCCATACATCCACGCACGTGTCCATACATCCATGCACGTGTCCATGTGCACACCCATGCGTGCTTCCATCCACGCTCATGCCTGTGCAACCACTCACGGGCACATCCGTGTCCCCGCACCGGTGCCCGTGTCTGGGTCCCCGTGTCCGGGTGCTGGTGTCTGTCTGTCCACACATGTGTCTGTGTGTGTCCCCCAGAAAATGCTGGACTACCTGAAGGAGAAGCGGGAGGTCGGGTTCTTCCAGAGCGTCCAGGCGCTGATGCAGACCTGCAGGTGACGCCTGGGCTGGGGTCCCCCCACGGGCATCGGGGTCCCCCCATGGGAATCAGGGACCGCTGTGGGCATCAGGGTCTCCCCATGGGCTTTGGGGTCCCCTCTGGGCATCAGGGACGCCCTGCAGAGATGGGAGCCCCCCCCCGCCTTGGGCATCAGGGACCCTCCATGGGTGCCCCAGGGGTTCAGGGCTTTAGGGGGGTCCCCAAGAGATCGAGGACCCCCAGGGAAGATGTGGGAGCAGCTCGGAACACCCGGCATTCGTTTTCAAGAGTGAACGTTAGGATTTGTTGTGC